ATTTCTATTTTCTATTGGGACCATTTACTCCTTGCCAGACTATCACAGTTACAGTAGACATTTCCGAAGGTGGTAAAGCAGAATCGGTGAGCCGTACTATGACAACAGGTATATTTCTTTAATTATGGTATTCGGTGTCATGAACTAGTGTTTCGACGCACAGTAGCTTTCGCTGAAAACGAGAGAACCTCTCCCGTGGCACGAGTAGAACCTTACCAATGACGTATACAATACACTCAAGGGGTCTTTAAAGTACGTTTTAAAATAGGCAAGGTTTTTTTTTGGACATTTGCAATGTTCAAGCGTTTTTTTTTTAGAAAGGTCACAATTTCGCTTTGTTGATAAAAAGTGTGATATGTGTTAATTTCGCTACAGTTAATGCTGCAACAACTTTTCAACTGTTGGAAGAGGTAGATTTTTAAGGAACTTGGTACCCAGACCGTGTTTTTTACCAAAAACTTTCGCCCCCATATCCGTCTTCAAACAATACAAGTTTGCTAGCGGGAGTCACGTGACGTGTTATGTCCTTTAAATAATGTCTAGATAATAAAATGCATTAAATAGAATAGATTATATACCTTCAAAATACGTATCTTTTTGTTATTTTCCGGTGAATTCAGAATAGCAAAAGACGAAATATTTTGAGCAGTGTTTGATAAATCTCATAACATAACATATATCAGGCTACAATGTTATATTTACATTTTGTTTTTAATTTTATTTCCAGCTTGTCCTTGTAACCCGGCGTCTGAGACAGGAGATCCACATTATTCCACATTTGATAACAACACTTTTACTTACCAGGGCCCATGTGGGTATATTGTGTCAAAGGACGCGTGTGACGGTGGCACTCCTACATTCGAAATATGCGCCACAAATAGTGGGAGAGAAGGACAGACTGATCCTCGGTTCGTGACCGGTGTACATGTGAAAACGGAGAGTGACGAACTACTGTTGTCACGACACACAGTTCTGGTAATTGATATTCATCATTACGAATATGATACACCTGAGCCGTTAATGGCCGCTGAAATTTCGTTGAGAGCACGAGATGCACGAGACTTGCTATCAGGTATCTAGGGACAAGTATCGTGGATTTCGCAGAACACAATTTCGACGAGCATTTACGTCCAAAGTATATTGATGTGTATCATAAAGATATTTTGTGTGGGTACATTGTGGTCGCTTAAAGGCGATTAAGTTTGTCTTCAAAAAATTGACATTCGTATTGTCATTACAGATCCCTCTGTCTGGATTTCTAATCGATATTTCAATACCATATTCTTGAGACTCGAGCATCTGCTGCAAGAGGCATCTAACCATTTGCGACAGAAATAATAAATTGATACACACTTTACATGATTTCCAAAACAAGTAATTATCGCATAACAAATTATAGAATCAACAATGCCTGTATTCATTTGTAGCATGGCGCAGTATCTCTGCCACAATTACAATATTACAATATCACATTGCTTCTTGAAAACAACTAACGCGGGGAAAAAATACTAAAATAGTCAAGTACGAATGTACGAATGAAATGATTCCAAGTGAAAATATAATAATGTCATATCCGAATAATATGATGTCATTACTTATGAAATGATATTGTAATATTCTAATTTTGCATGGATATAACTAGATGTCGATTGATCTGTAAGACGCGCGGCTCATTTTTCATGATAATGCACTGTAGTTATGGAGACAATAGT